ATCTCTAAAGTTCCACCATCATGCATTTGAAGTAAGTACCTATTGATCATGGGCAGCTAAGGGGATACTAAAAATGAAATGCTACCAAGATTCATAACAACATGGAAAAATCTCACCATGTGTATCAATTGTTTTGCCAAAATAGCAGTACTAGGTACTACCTCCATCTAGCCTTCTGTAATTCGAAGTCATTTTTCATAAACAACTGCCCTCTTCATCCTGAGGTGCTTCTGCTACTGCGAGGCCACTTCAAGTCATCTAGGTTCTGATGATCCATGTAGGGCCAGCTTGCTGGGTTCTGCTTGGTTCAGGCTCAGGGGGATGGTAGGGCCACAGTCTTCTCTGATCTGCTGCTCAGGCTTTAAAGCCTTCCAGAAGCTCACTAGCACAGCATCTGGCTCTCTGTTAGTTTTTCACTTAAGAACTCTAGCTCAACACAAATTGTGCCACATTTAATTTTGAGAAGCCCAGACAGAACTCATCATCTGCTTTTTCTTTTTCTCAACTACTCTTGAGTGTTTTAGCACTTATGAATTTGATTTATATAGTTATTTAAATCATTTAGGTATGCCAAAGCCTTCTCTACCTTATAAAAATGATGGCCCACCATGAGACTAAGCAATGTTACTAAAGTCCCAGCCCCATGTCAGGCCCAAGGTCCTTGTTGAATCAATCTCTTTTTGTAAGACTGATACTTTTATTCTTTGAGGATTTCATACAATGTATTTTAATTTTATTCAGACCTCTTCCTCCATCTCTACCCCCACCTTTGTATCCCCTCCAACTTCATGTCCTTTATTATTTTTTAAGACCTATCAAGCATAATCTGTGTCCCTAAATGCTCTTGAGTATAGGTCTATCCCCTGGTCAACCTACTAGGTGTCACACCCTTAAGGAAATCTCACTTTTTCTCCTACAAATTGATATAAATTTGCAATAGTTTCTCAGCTAGAGTTGGGGCTTCTTGCTCACCTCCCCTCTTCCTTCTGTGCTGGGATTTTGTCTGAGCTAAGTTTGCACAGTTCTTGTTAGGCTGTCACAATTGCTGTGAGTTCATATGTATATCAGCCCTGCAGTTTGGAAAACACTGTTTCTTTGTAATCATCCACAACCTTTGGCTGTTACAATCTTTCTACCCCTTCTTCTACAATGATCCTGAGTCTTGGGAAAAGATAGTGTCATATAAGTGTCCCATTTAGGGATAAGAATTCCATAGTCTCTTATTTTCTTCATGTTCACCAGTTGTGGGTTTCTGTGTTAATCACCATCTGCTGCAAGAAGTTTGTCTGGTGAGAGTTAAAGAGATGCATTAATTTATGGATATAATAATAAGTCATTAGCAGTCAGTTTAACACTATGTGCATTCAACATAATAACAGTACTAGGTTCTCCCATACTGCCTGTGTCCTGTTTAGCCACAGGGTCTCAACCCTGATAACAGTACCAAGTATGGGCTCCATCTTGTGAAGCAGGCCTTAAATCCAATCAGAAAGTGGTTTGTTACTTCCTTAACGTTCACATCTCTATTGCACCAGTTAAGTCTAACCTTTAATAGCAAGGAAGGAAAATAATCCATGATTTAGCCTGCAGAGAGGAGTCTTAGTAATGGTCTAATGTAAGAAACTATGCTAACTATACATCTTAACTCTTCAAATTGGAAAAGACTTTAAAAAAAAAAGGTGAAAGAGCCCCCTCACAGTCTGCTGTAGATTGTGGGGTTAAATGGGGTCAGTTTGAGTGCTACTGAAACATAGAAACTGAATAATGTAACTACCCATCCCTTCTTGAAACAAAAGCTATATGAATTGAGAAAACGTGAGAGAAATAAGTCTATGAGTAATTAGGGATTCTTGGTTATTGCTGGATGAAATCTCCATGAATATCAAGAACTGGAAGACAATAGAAGGACAGACATTACTAAGGGAACTGGGCATGAGAGAAGTGGTATTTGATGCCCTGTTCACCATGCCTGAAAGAACTATTTTCACAGGAGAGTTCAAAAAGAAGTTGAGGGGTTGGGAAAACAGCTCAGTGGTTAAGAGTGCTTGCTCCTCATTGATCACTGATGGGTGAGGGAAAGTCGATCTTCTTTAAGAGAGTGACCCTAGATAGGCCGACCAGGGACATCTAGGTACATGAACTTGACTTAATAGGCCTTAACATATATGACAGAATATAATGAAATCTTGTGGGTAGACTATGGGATGCAGATAGGGGAGAAGTTTAAATATGATTAAGATCTATTGTGTGAAATGCACAAAAATTCAATAAAAAATATACATTAAAAAAAGAAAAAAAAGAATATTTGCCGCTCTCTATCATGAAGATTGGACTTTAGATCCTAGCACCCATGTTGAGCAGCTCTCAAACACCTATAACTCCCACTCCAAGGCATCTAATATGTCTTCTAGCCTCCAAGGGCACACACACACACACACACACACACACACACACACACATATATTATCTCTCATACACACATGTGTGCATGCATATAGTCTCTCTTACACATGCATACACTTGTATATATTCTCTTTCTCTCATGTTGTATGTACATTCTCTCTCTCTCTCTCTCTCTCTCTCTCTCTCTCTCTCTCTCTCTCAGCACCCAGACTAAACCTATCTACCAGATTGTGAGGGATTCTTTCATTTTTTGTTTAAAAGTTTTCCCTGATTCAAACAGCTCAGATGTATTGTAGTTTCTTGGAGCTGGGCCATTACTAAGATTCCCATCTGTATGCTGAATCATGGAATTGTTTTCTTTCTTCTCTACTAAAGATTGGATCTAATGGCTTTCTATCATTTTACCTCACGCATTGCCTCACGATCTGGTTCTTCCCATAAACTCCTAGTTTTGGGATCCAGAAAGGGTTCTTTAGTCCAGATCTAATTTGCACTCTTTCCCTTGCATTCTGACAGGTGCAAATAATGGCAAGATTAATGTCTCCATGTAATCCTTCCTTTTTATTTTCCTAAGAAATCAGAGATTAATGCAGCAGATAGCATCCACATGTTTTTTTTTCCCCATAGTAATTCTTCTCTCACATGGATAAGTTCTTTCAAAGAAGACAATTGAGCTTCAGATGCAGATATTTTGTTAATGAACTATTATTATTTATGTAGTATTGAGAATTTCATGCAATGTATTCTGATCATATTTATGCCTATTTCTCCTCCTAATTCCTAACAGAGCCACCCTACTTCCCCAACCCCCTACTCAACTTCATGTTCTCTTTTATCTTTTTTAATGACCCATGCTGTCCAATTTATATTGGCCATACACTCCTGGGTGTAGAGTCATCCACTGGAGAATTGGTTAACCTAAATTAAAATAAACTAAGTTTATTTCTTAAGCCTTGTAAATTTTGTTTACTTCGTGAGTCTTAATGAGCCTCTTTCCCCTAGGGAATATTTACAGTAAAAACAAATGGCTCTACAGGGAATGCTTCTATTCAGAGGAAATTGCTATAGGACACAAGCCCTTCACCATGAATTATTTACCTCGCCCTGGCCATTAAACAATGGAAGAGGTTGGCCATGGACTCAGTACTCTGAAAATATGAGTCAAAATAAATATTTCTTTTTTAAGTTGTACATTTCAGATATTTTGACACAACGATGGAAAACTAAAACATTAATTCCTACTATCTCTCCAAAGGTTGAACAGTAAATTGAGCATTCTTTTTAAAGGTCTCAGTTAGCACCTATGAGTCAGACTTCTCAGTCTGTGACAAAATCTTAGAGAGACATTTGAAATGGTGAAAGATTTATTTTGGATTGGGCTTTTCAGCACTCTCATTGAAAAGTCAGCTGGCTCCATCACTTCTATGTCCCTAGTGAGATTTGATCACCATGGCAGGAATATAAGATAGAGCAATGTGGCTCACTTGTGGTGAACAGAAGATAGTATGGGAAAGGTACAGAAAATAAGACACATCTTTCCATGGCTTCCTCCATCTTTCCATCTACTTCCTCCAATTAGACGGAACTCCTATTTTCACCACTTCCCAAATAATGTCATTATATTGTGTATGTATCAAGGGATTTATCTGGGGCTGGAGAGACGGCTCAGCAGTTAAGAGCACTAGCTGCTCTTGCAGAGGACCCGGGTTTGGTTCCCAGCACCCACATGGCAGCTAACAACCATCCAGTTCCATGAGATCTGAAGCCCTCTTCTAACCTCTGCAGGCATTGCACAAGTACATTTATATACATGGAGGCAATACATTCATACACATAAAATAAAAATAATAAACATTTTTAAAACCTCAGCTCTTGCAACTGAACAGGGCTTCAAAGCAAACATAAACCAGGCAGCTACGCCAATGGATTTATAGGAAAGGCACAGAGGGAACTGTATGTTTGGATATTAGCAACCAATAGCACTGAATAATATAAGGTTTATGATAGTCAAGAAGAAATTGCCTGGAAGAGAGAAGAGAGTCCAGGAGGATGTAGTGAATACCAGTACTAAGAGGCCTGAAGTAGAACAAACCTCAGATCATGCTGCAGAAGCCTCTGTCCAAACTAAGGAATGACAGTGATAGCGAAACTTCCTGGCTGAAGACAAATAAATAAATCAACCCAGGAAGGCCTGGGTGTCACTAGTACGGGAGGCAGATTGCCTATTCTCTCCTCTTGGTGGTGTGGAGTTCACAGTGTCGCCAGACACAATTCTTCCCAAGTTCATACCAAGAGGAGCTAGTCCAAGATCAGGGTTCAGGTAATTTTCTCCAAAGCTGGCTACTGAAAAATGGCCACACCAGAGACACTACACCAGATTGTAGACACACAGGTAGGAGTGACCCTCGGCATATTCCAAGTCTGGATACCCAGCCTGACAAAAGGAAATGGCCTCTGGCACCTCCAAGAGAAGAATATTACACGTAAACTTACCACATAAATTACCATCTTATTCCTTGCCACTGAATCATATTTTAAATCATGTGCTTCAACTAGCTCATCAACACCTGAATCAAGTCACAATGGTGCCTTTGGCTTCACCGGACACAGGGAAACACTTTCCTGAGGGCCACTTTGACCTCCTTGTTCCGAAGAGAGTAGATAAGAGGGTTCAGGGTGGGGCTGATTGCTGTGTACAACAAGGCGACCACCTTGCCATTCTCCATGGAGGAGCCAGAGGCAGGTAATACATAGGTGTAAATGACAGTAGAATAGTACAGGGTGACGACTACCAGGTGGGCAGAGCAGGTAGAGAAGGCACGCTTCTTGCCCTCAGTGGAGCGGATGCGCAGGATGCTGGCAATGATGAAGCCGTAGGATGTCATGGTCATCAGGAAGTTAACCACACCAAAATAGACATCTGCGATGACAATCATGATACTGTTGAGGGTGGTTGGGCTACAGGACAACAGGAGCAGTGATGGGACTTCACATAAAAAGTGACGTACTTGATTGGGGCCACAGAAATGGAGCTGTGCCATCAGTCCCGTGTGCACAGATGTGCTGACTGCACTGACCACCCATACACTGCCTGCAAGCAGGGCACAGACAAATCGGCTCATCAGTGCACTGTAGTGCAGCGGGCGACAAATGGCCACATAACGGTCATAAGCCATGGTGGTGAGCAGCAGCAGCTCAGCTCCCAGAAACCAGGTCAGGAAGAAGAGCTGGGTCATGCATCCCTCGTAGGAGATAATGCTGCCCCTGGCTACCAGGCCATCCAGTAGCTTGGGGAGGACAGTAGATGTACAGACAATGTCCAACAGGGCCAGGTTTATGAGGAAGAAGTACATGGGGGTGTGAAGACTTGGATTCAGGCTGATGGCCATGATGATAAGGGTGTTTCCTGCAAGAGCCAGGAGATAAAGGAGGAGGAAGAAGGCCAAGAAGACAACCTTGAGCCCAGGATTCCCAGAAAAGCCCTGCAGGACAAACTCTACCACAGCCGTGTGGTTGTTCACTGCCATTTGAGGGTGAGCCCCTGGAAATTACTGAGACACAGCTGGGCCTGGCTAAGGATGCACAGGTTGTAAGGCAGCCTGTCCTGTCACAAAGGAGCCAGCTGTGACTGGAATGTTTACCGTAGATGCTGTCATTGTAGAAAGCATGTAATTAAAATGACACAATCCCTGAACATAGTGAGATGGTCAGAGTATGAATTCTCCACTTTGCACGCAAAGGCCCTGGAATAGTTTCCCTGCCTGTGATGGACAACATCCTTCTGTGGCCTTTGTTCATTTTTCCTTTACGGTATCAATTTCCTGAGACCTGGACCTCTTATGAGTGTTAGGGTTCAGATAGCCCCGCCCCCTCACCAACAGGCTCTCAAGGACTTCTCAAGCTCCTGAGAAAAGGGAACGGAGCTGATAAGCACCTTGGTCTTTGAAGTCAAGAGAAGCAGACTTTTCTCCACTGTTTGGCCAACACAGCAGGCTTCCCCTTTGATCTCCAAAGAGAAAAGGTTTTAACAGTCCTGCTCTCCCACTTCCCCCTGCCCAACTTTAAAAAAATACATCTTCCCGCCTACTGCAGGAAGCAGAAGCCTCCCTTTTTAAAAGACCCTAGCTCACGACCCAGGCAGACATTTTCCCTGCCCAGAAGGGAATCTGTCCCATGTGTTCCTTTGCTAATAAACTCTACTTTCTCCTGATCAACCCTATTTATCACATGGCTACTTTTTACCTATGAATGAGTGCATGTACTAAACTGCTAGGGCATACCAATGACTAAACTGGTCCCCAGTCAGAGAACTTGGGGTCTCAGAGAGGATCAGTAATATTAGTGTGTAGTTCAAGCTTCTCAGAAGCAGGCTAAGAAGGAATGTTGTGAGAGGAAAGCATGCTTAAGGGTCTGGAGGGGTCTGACTCATGGAACAGTTCCAACATGCCATGCAGCTGGCACAAAGGGCCCTGGTTCTTGTGGAATGAACTGAACACAGCTCTTTTATAAAACTACAACCTTCTATCCTCTGGGCACCCTAGGCCACTCCATTATAAATGGTTAGACCCTATGAAATGAATGTCATCCCAATCCCTGGGTCTGGTGGAGGCTTGTGCCTGCCTAAGTAGTTGTCAGGTTGTGCCAGAGCTAGGGACATAAAAAGAAAAGCATGTACCCAGCTTCAACCAGGCCCCAAACCTCTAAGCTGTCAGTCCCACCCAGATTCAAGCCTGTGTGCCCTACAAATCTATTCCAGGATCTATCTCTAACCACCTAGACCTCCTCAGCCAGTATGTACTACTCAAGCCAAGAAGGGGTAAAATGATTAATATGAGGGAGAAAACTCAGCCTTCTTCCTGAGGTCTCAGTGGAAGTAGGAGGTCCCAGATCCATCCTGGAGGCTCAGCATGGATTGTAGGTTGCCTGAAAACAAAGGGCTCACACCCAGGGCATGTCCTGAACAAGGAAGCCTGTCTCCTCACCTGTGAACACACAGATCAAGGCCTTTTCTCTACAGGGTAAGCTTGAGAGCAGGGCCACTCTGGACCTTTAACAAGCTCCTCCTTCCTCTACCCACAGAAAAGCTGAGCTACCCACAGAGCCTCCAAGGCCCACACATGGCCCTGCAGAAGCAAAGGTCAGTCAATGAGTACTTCCTGCAGATAGCCACTGGCCTCATGAAGCACACAGGACTTCTCAGTTAAGCTTCCAATTTCCCTGTGGCTGCAGAATCTGAGCCACAGCACCTGTTTAATTGTAGCCCCTTGGGCCACAGGTTGCTCTAAGCCTTGAACTCTACACCAGATTCACAGGAAGCTGCTGTGCCCCTCTCAGAGATCCAGATCTGCCTCAGTGCCAAGCCACAGAGCAGAATTTCTGCTCACACTAATCAATGGCCTAGATAGAACACAGAGCTGATCTTCAGAGGCCAGAGCATTTAAAATTTCAAACTGAAACTGTGAAAGATGTCAGAAAAGTGATTTCGGAAACATGTTTTCCAAACTAAAATAGGTCAAGACAAAAACAAATCTTTTGAGAAGCATTTCTTCCTCTCTGCCTCAAAAAAAGGAAGAAGAAAGGGGGGAAAGGTAGGTAAATGTGCCAAAGGAGGAAGCAGGTAAAGGAACGACTCACATGGAAGGAAGCATTGGCTCTGACTGCCCATCTAAACCCAAGATGTTCACATATCATGGAGAACATATGGCATGATATGTGTCCCATGTCTCTTCTGTTTGCTGTTGATCTTAAAGTCTGCCTGTTGGAGTGGACAGTGAGATTTCTAGAGAGACTGGGGTGCCCTAGGAGTGGCCCTCAGAGAGCAATTACACACCTAGAGGTAAACAGGGATCCCTGTGGGCCATGGTCCCCAGGCTGAGGCACCAGGACCCCAAGGCACAGAGACAGGCAGGCGCCTGAGGCCACAGACATGGCTCAAGGACACTAGCCCCTTTGGTGATTTCTGCCCTGGGGATGCCCTCAAGATAACTTGGCTGAGAGACGTGTACATGTGATCCCTGCAGGAAAAATGTGTTTCATTTTAAATAACTATTCCTCAGCAGTCTTTGTATTTACCCCACCTCACTATCTCTCTTTGGTGTGGTATAGCTCTTCTATTAACACAACATTGATTGAACCACCAATATCTGGAGAGAGAGAGAGAGAGAGAGAGAGGAGAGAGAGAATAGACCACTCTCATTGCATTGCATGGGGAATGCATAGTGATGTGGTATATCACTGCTGAGGTTGATGCTGAGGCAATGCCTATTATCATTGCAGTTTTCAAATTCTCCCATGAGGACAGAATGTGTGAAGTCTGTGGAAGTGAAGGTCAGCACAAACAAGTAGAACCCCATCTCCCACCATTCTCTGTGGCCCTGGGTATGGATGGCAATGTACCATGAGCTTATTGCAGTGGATTGGCTTCCATGCATAGCCAGAAAGCCCACAGCAGGTTGGTGAAATCTCTTACAGTCACAGAATACACAAGACCTGGGAGTACTTACAAGAAAAAGCTTGCAATTTTAGTGGTCAAGTGCAGAAAGTAACACATTCAGAAACCAGTCATTGCAAAGAACCAAAGGAGCTAAAGTGATCCTAACTTCATAAACCAAATGACCACTTGCCCCTTTAAGTTCCAAATCTCCTAGAGTCTTTCAATTCAGTCAATAGGGACATTCTTAATCTCTGTCAAATAATTACCTATTTACCATAACAGTAAATGTAACAGTTTCAGTATAACTCAAGACTTGGGAAATTCCTTGGATGCATTCAGATATGATACACCCTTCAGCTACTTCTGATATTTCTATAAATTTTCCATAAAGGAATAATAGTTATAAAACTAATCAGAGATCAAAGGTTCCTGCAACACTGATTTAAGGTCATCTTATGGTCCAAAATAGGTGACCATATTTGTAGCATATAAGCCTCAAAAGTGGGGCTAATCAATTAGAGACTGTTGAGCATCTGCCCTCTTACTATACTGGGCCTATGAGTATTTACAGAGCAGGACAGTATCTCTGCCCCAGAGGTGTTGGGATTCTTGAGTCACTCAAGCAGTGAGGCACAAAGATACCCATGCCCTTAACAATCACCCATAGAGTTAATGAGGACCCTGTGCTCTACCTTTGGACAAATAGGTAGTGGGGACAGAAATAGTGTGTTGCTCACACTCAGGTAGGGGTCACTAGCAGTCAAAAGGAAAACAACAGAGGCTGTGGGAGCATGGAACTTGGGTGGAGTGCACAGCCCTGCATTTGGCCCACCCACTCCAGGCTGGCCCACCCACTCCATCCCAGGATGTGAAACAGAGGGCAGGCAGCTTTGTTTCCTGAAGATCATAAGGGATAATGGCCTGAAGTCTTTGTTTCTGTATCAGAGGTAACTTCAGGACTGTCTCCTACCCTACCTTGGATAGGAAAGGGGGTTCAGAAGTTAAAGACTTAGGGTGAGCTAGTTAGGGAGGTTTTAAGCAAGTGAGCTCTACCTACTGATAGATGAAGAAGGCGACGGATGAATCCATTTGATGGGGAGAAAGCACCAGAATACAGATAAAACTCCAGCGGAATAGAATTTTATTTCTCACCAACAAGTTCCCTTGGGGGAGGGAAAAATGTCCGCCCACAGGTTGTGAGCTGGGGTCTTTTATAGGGGGAGGCTTCAGGGGATGCAGAAGGCAGGAAGATATATTTTTTTAAAGGTTAGGTGGGGAGGCAGGAGAGTGGGACTGTTAAAACCTGGCCCCCTTCCCAAGCCCATGTTACCCCTGAGGAACAGATCCTCAAACAACTTTAAGAGTAAAAATAAATTGTTCTATCTGGGCCAACTGTAGGGTCTTAAACACCCAAAAGGAAAATATAACCAAAGATTAATGGGGCCAATATAATTTCATAAGAGTCCATATGTCCCAGACAGTAACCCAGCATAGAACTGGGAAAATGAACAGCAGACCCCAATCTTATCTAAAGGAATATTGACAACCGATTGCTGCTAGATGAGGAACAGCTGATCTTCCTAAAACAAGGATCTCTAGATAGGCTGACTAGATTCAGCAGACAGACAAGCACTGGAGAATGGCTGGGGGTGTCGACAACATAGAGGACAGTAACAGAGATGACAGAGTATGTGGGCTCCAGTATGTGGGAGGTGGGGAGGCTATGGGAGGGTATCATTTTGGAAGTGGGTATATAGGTGAATAAGACTGTGTGGGATGTTTTGTATGATATACACACAGAAAAATCAACAAATTTTTTAAAAAGACATTTGAGGAGAAGCATAAAAATTTACTTCATGTTAAATAGTAGAGGTGATAAACATTACCAGTGAAATCTACCTGATGACTTTATATCCATAATCAGGTACTAAGGATCCAAGTGTAACTGACTATGACTAGTAACCATCAGATACATAGAGATTAAAGACACGTGCAAACATCTAAGCATTAGTAGCATTAAAAATGTAGGAAACACCATATTTTAAAATGAAATGGAGATCTTCTTTAAGGGTTAAAACTCATTCAATTTTATAT